TTTCTTTCTTTTTCTTTTTTTTTATTCGTTTCAGGATAGCAACAGTTTTGCAGAAAATGAATCCAAATTGGTCCGGTGATCGTTTATTCCAGGAAACACGAAAAATTGTTGGAGCTGAAATACAAGTAATAACATATAAGGAATTTTACCCAAATTTGGGTAATACTATGAATAAACATATTGGTTCTTATAAAGGATATGATCCAAAAATTGATCCTACCGTATCTAACGTATTTACCACATCAGCTTATCGATTTGGACATGGAATGTTACAGGTTTATTATTGACAATTAATTAAAAAAAAATTATATCAAAATTAATTTATCAATTATATATCTTGTATTGGAAATGAGAAATAATTTTTATTCAATATTTAATTTATAGATTAGCACGTAACACGTATTGTATATTGTAAATGAAATATTTAATTTATAGATTAGCACGTAACACGTATTGTATATTGTAAATGAATTTTTTACACATACAAGTACTATTATATTAAATGAAATTATGGAAAATAGCACTTTAAGTATTAGTGTAATTTTATTATTCTCTTTTTTTCTACTAACATTTCACTTTTTTTTTTTTCCTCTCTGCACTTTAGGAATTTTATAAACGGTTAGACTTTGCCGGAAAGAATATTTCTCATGGTGGATTCCTGTTTGGCGAAGGTGTTTTCAAATCGGGCAAAATTTTATTTGAAGGTGGAATTGATCCAATTTTACGTGGTTTCATGATGACAGCCGTAAAACGACCTCATCGTATGGGTAAATCAATCACTGAAAAAATGTTTGGCAGGTAAAATATTATTAATTAATCATTTTATTTTATCAAAATTATCATTAATATTTTGCTCATTTTTTCATCAATTAATCATTTTATTCAAAATTCATTTCTTTCATGCAACTTTTTTTTTGATTGTCAAAAAAAAAAAGGATGGAAAAAAAAAATTGATAATAATCATTATTAAGTACCGATCTTGGTTCCGTCAATATTCAACGTGGACGTGATCATGGATTACCATCGTATAATAAATGGCGACATTTTTGTGGAATTTCATTGGCTAATGATTTTGAAGAATTGAAAAATGAAATTTTAGATAAAAATATACGTGATGGTTTAGCAAAAACCTATAAAACAGTTGGTAAGTTTGTATCTCTTATCGTTTTTTCTTTTTCCTAATTTATTAATTAGTAATTAATGAGATAAACTGATGAATTACTATCTAACATTATATAAAATGGAAAATTTTATATTCTCGAAAATATTTAACGTAATGTTATACCAAAGTTACAAGATTTTTCCTTATTTTTACCTTAAATTTGGATAATTAAATTATTAAGTTAATTAAAATTAAACAATATTAGCATAGCATAATCATTTAGGAATTACGAATCACAAAAATTAACGCATAAAGCTATTTCCAAAAAAAATGTCACCACAAAAAAAAGAATTTTGAAGATATATCAATCTAGAGAATAAAAGAAAAGGAGGAATATCCTCATTCTTTCTATCTGTAGGATTTATATTTATTACATCTTTCAAGGATTACTTTGACAATTATAAAGATTAGCCCTTTTATTAGCTTATGCTAATAAAGCATTGTTTATTAGTATACATTGGTAAAAGCACTTCATTTAGGGTACATTACTAAAC